TAATACTCAAATCGCTCTCTTGGATTTAAACCGATAGATGTGTTCTCTTAACCGATACGACGTATGCACACATCCTCCATACTCCTGCCATCATATCATAGTGGAAGCTTGCTGCCCATTTAATTTGTAGTTTTGTATAGCCTTTATGAGGGGTTTAACTCTCCTCTATTTATTGATTAAATCAAAATTTTGTAATTTCGTAATTAGAAGGATTAGGCCTAAAGGATAGATTTAGGCCTTATTTGCTCGTCCACACATAGATTTAGGTCCAAAATGTCACAATTATGATGTTTAGGCATAAATTGATAAAACTTGCAAAATTTTAGGTCTTTAATTATAGAGTTTTTAGCCTTTCCATCCGATAAACTTTTCATAGCCATACTCCTGCCATCATATCATAGTGGAAGCTCGCTGCCCATTTAATTTGTAGTTTTGCATATGTGGGGTTTAACTCTCCTCTATTTATTGATTAAATCAAAATTTTGTTATTTCGTAATTAGAAGGATTAGGCCTAAAGGATAGATTTAGGCCTTATTTGCTCATCCACACTTAGATTTAGGTCCAAAATGTCACAATTATGATGTTTAGGCATAAATTGATAAAACTTGCAAAATTTTAGGTCTTTAATTATAGAGTTTTTAGCCTTTCCATCCGATAAACTTTTCCATGGAAAAGATCAACCATGCGACCACCAGCTTGTAAAAAAAGAAAAGCTTGAAAAGGGTAAATATTCAAATCATGATTAAAAGTTTGGAAAAGTGTTCAATTTAGGCCTAATTCTTTATATTGAATCTAATTAGACCTAAAAATTTGGCTCATCAACCAAATTAGACCTAATTTTGACGGGATCCACGTGTGTAGTGCACGTGTCAATAAGTACTACATGGTGTCTTTTTTTTTTTTTTACTTTGTAACAGCACGTTTTTGACTGAACGGCTCGTGCACGACTCGCAAAAAATTCCATCAGAAATAGACCTAATTTGATTGATGATGCTTACTTTTAGGCATAATTATATTCAAACAAAAAAATTAGAACAAATGGAGCACATCTCCAAACTTTTACTCCTGTATTGGATTTTTACCCAGCTCGATCGGAAACAATACATTGTTTAGGTAATATATGCATTAGAACAACATGCATAGATACTCCCATCTCTCCCAAATGAATCTTTTCCTTCTTCCCACCAAAAGTTAGCTATCATCATATCAATCTCATGCACAAAACCCTTAGGTAAAAGGAAAAAAGTCATTAGATAAATATATACACACTAATTCCCCTCTTCACACCTGATTTTACTGAGGTGTTCAATCCAGAGGCATTACATATAGAATGTCGCAATAAAAATATAAAAATAGCATATGTGAATGTTTGTAAGTTAAAATACAATAATAATGTACTTATGCATAATAATTCTTTAATAAGTAAATAATTTTATATTTTATAAAGAGATTTATAATTCATCTTGGGTATAATTAAAAAATAAATTGTAAAATCGTAAAATGTGAATGCATAATTAATTAGGTATAATTGTTACAAGCAGGGTGGCCTGCGCTTGCGCTGCAGTCATCTTCTTATTAGGACTATATTATTTTTGTAGTTGTTTAAGTCGGTAAGTAAGAAGATATTGCATTGGCTATAAGTTAATCAGTTTGGAGAAACTCATACATAGAAACAAATAATTCGCATATATAAAGCAAAACACATGACCTCTCTTTCATTCTAAAAGTGCATTATCTAAATTCTACTCCATCTCTAGGTAATTCATCAAAATAAAGCTAATATTTTACTCCTCCATCTTTAGATAATTCATCAAAATAAAGTTAATATTAATTGTTGCTTTAAATATATGTTAATCATCTAAAAAAGCATAATACGCTGCGGTCATTTTTTAATCTTGATTGCACTTATTGAATTAATGAACTCGGGTAGGTGAAAGAATATGGCTTCTACATAAGGAATGCCTAATTTTTTGTAGTCAAGGAGCATGTATAGTTGTCGTAGGAAAATTGAATTAGTTGAGAGTATTTGCAGGAACATATGTAATTTACACAATGCATCACAAAATCATTGTACTTAGCATTGGCTAACTATAATATAAATCCAAATAAATCCAGATTTACCTCAAAATGTTGCGGTGAGAAGTGAAAGCTCTCCACTTTAGGTTATGTCATCCTAAGGCGCTGCTAAATTAAATGGAAGAATCTTATCAACGTCCATTTGGAAATTTTAGGAAACAGAACGGAGTCCATGTGAAACCAATTCAGAGAAATGTTAGGGAAGAAGAAACCCACCCAAATAGAAATGAAGACAAAAGGAAAATAGAACTGGAATGTCAATAGTTTAGCCATGAATCAACCATTATTGAAGATACATTTATAGCACTAGTCCTTTGGAATTCCGGCAGAGGAGTTGAACCGGTAAATCCTAATATCCACACACAATTAATATGTAATTAAAACACACTTAATCTTTTCTTCAATGAAAACACACTTAATCATAAATATAAAAATTGTAAATTACAAAAAAGGGCAGCAGGAAGAGTAAGAGAGGAAATTCATCGAGGGCCTTTTTAGTCACCCGAAAAGTGAGAAAAGACCAAAAAAAACCAAAAGGAGCCACCACATTAATCCTTAATTTGGCTTTTAAGTAATTTCCATAGCCACTAAAAATAATATATAGTATATATAATAGAGTGATTTTCTTGAATGTTTTTTTCTTTAATATCTTAAAAGAAGAAAAAATGAACCATAATGACTTGGATTTAGTTGACTAATTAAGAAAGAAGAATCTTTTTTTAGGGGTATAATGATATCCAATGTTTAAAAATTCGGACGATGAACTGGTAAGGAGGTTGATTTACGGTTTAATCGGTTCAACCGTAGGTCAGATTGTTTTGTTAAAAAATTAAAGAACTATCTTTCGAATATAAATTATTTTTGAAAAATAATTTTTATATCAAAATATTAATTAAATCTAGTTTTTTCAGTTCAATTCAGTACGGTTTTGATTCAACCGATTAAAGAGCGATTCTTGGTTTTCTCAGTTTGCTATGTGTAATCGGACCATTTTTATCTCTGTTTCCCAATTCAACCAATCAGTTCGATTCGGTCCGATTTTTTAACACTGATGATATCTCATTATAATTAGAATTTAAGAAATTATCTTAAATAACTACTTACAAACTAAACAAACAAACATAAACCCACATTAATCCAGCCGACAATACGTCGCTGGTAACACCTTATTAGTACTATACCCCGATTTAACTTTGCCTTTATAAAGATCTCATCCGTTTATGACTTTTTCTTAGCTTCTAAGCCTTAAAAGCGTTACTTGGGAAACTAGTGATTAAATTGATATTGTACAGTGTAGAAAATGTTCTACAACATGTTGAAGGCTGTTTTCTTGCTCATTCCGAAAATTCCTTCGTTTTCTTATTCTAAAATTCAAATCCCTCATGAATCTACAAAAATCTAGAAAATTTTGTAACATATATAAGTGAGCATTGGCACTTGTAGATTTTGATTTTTTTTTAAGGAATGGGAAAATTTCCAAGGAAAGAGCGAAAGAAGGGGAATACCAATACTTGATCCTTGGACTTGATCCTTGGATATTCACGGAGGTCTCTGTGTCAGAAACCAACAAGCCATAGGGGGAACTGGTTGTAGATTTTGTATATAAATGTGGAATTCAACAAACATATTAGTCAGTTGCGATAGAATATTGTGACGAAATTTCAAAGCAATAGCAAATGATCATGTTAACCTTAAGTTTCAGGGCACGACGAATCCTAGTCTTAAGTCTTAACTACTCGTCCCAATCCAGTTGGTAAAATCTTATAAAAGTAAAATATTTGACTACTACTATATATAATTATATATAGATCTGCTCGAAATCTTTTAAAGCTTGATTTTTTTTTCTCTAAATTAAGAAAACTTCACAAATGAATTGATCAGACTTAGAACAACTACTTCTTATTGAATTCAGATTATTGACCAAGAAACATTGTGTCCTTTGCTTTGTTTTGTGATGGGGCCGATGGCTACTGGCTAGACGACCACTACTAAATGTCATGTGGAAAAGTGTATGGTTATATGTACACTTAGTGGAGTGGAAAAGAAAACCCACCAATCAATTGTTTTCTTTTCATTTAAATTAAAAAAAAAAAAGAAGAAGGTTTATCTTTCTAATCTTCAAACTTTTCCAAGAAGTAGAAGAATATTGTAATTGAAAAATCCAAGCCACCTTGCCACTGTAAACTTCCAAGAACTTTTTTGGTAGACAAACATTTTCATTTTCTTTCAAAACCCATTCTTCCATGAAGAAAAAGCTACTATACTACTCATCATATACTGTCGCTTTCCCCATCTTTCCAAAGCTTGAATTGAATTTAGTGGTCAAGTACTCATATGAAGTTAACAAAATATTAATTAACTTATTAAGTTACTTTGGATGTTACTAGTAACACTAATTAATACTACTTGGAAGACAAAGAAAAGAGAAGTTACACTCTAATTTCCACAAACATTTACCTGTGATTCATAACATATGATCTTGGTCGGCCACCATAGATTGCGCCAAAGCTAGATATTGAGACTGATAGTATAAAAGAAATATTTGTAAAATGGAATATGTACTTTTCTTTGTGCCCAAGAATAAACCAAAACTTTCAAAGAAAGAAAAAGTTCTAACAACTTCCATCGATTGATCATGTATTGAGTAAGCTATAATAATATTTTTCGTAAAATTCCAAGAAAAATTAGCTTGATGTATATTTTTAGGTGAGATTTTTATTTTATTTTCTTTCATTAATATTATTCATTAAAATTTGAAAACAAAAAGGAATTTATTATATAAGTAAATACAATGGGACACATGGCACCATATGATGAATGGACAACACGAGACATGTGATTTTTATCCATAACCATCTCATTAAGATTACTTGGTTTCGTTCTTAAAAAAAAAATAAAAAAAAAAATAAGTTGGCTTCGCGGTTGAGTATTTGGTTTAGTGATAGAATGTTGAATTCTTAGTTCTAGTTGGTAAGGTTCGATTCCTATCAGTCTCAATTACCAAAAAAATAGATTAGTTGATTTCTAAAATCACACACATATACATATATATATATATATATATATATATATATATACTAGTTAAAGCACGTGCGCTGCACGTATGTTAATAATTGATAAATCATATATTCCACACATGCGTACTTTTCATTTTCATAAATTTTGATTAATTAATCATCAAAATCTGGTCATTTCGTTTACAGAGATTTGAAATAATTAATCTCATTGAACGTAAAAAAAAACTTAAATTATTATACAATTATGGTCATCTAAGGTGTTGAACTGATACAATTGACATGTTGCCGTCCTCGCATTGGAAAGACTGCTTTAGTAGGCCTTCTTGTACGAGTAGCTTTATAGGAGGGAAGTATTTGAATCACAATTCAAATTCAACTTCACGAGAAGATAATCTTTAGATTATAACTTAACCTATTCAGTTAGCCTTTGTATTTAAATGTAACTCATCTTTATCCTAACCAATTAGCCTTGTATTATAAATATACAAAAACTCAATACAGAAAGTACAACACTTTTTCACCACTTTCCTTTGTAAACTCTGTTACTTCTATATGGTATCACGAGCCGAAAACTGAGTTTCTGTTTTTTTTTTCTTTCCCTCTCCTCTTATTCTTCTTCTTCTTCCCTTCTTTGCCAATGTCGACTGCTTCATCTACAACCCCCACCCTTGTTACCACAAACAATCAAACAATTAACCAAACCAATGGCCTCCCTCCTCTGATTACTATCAACGCTGCTGCCCAGTTACCCATTAAACTCAATCCACACAAATTCCCTTCATGGAGAGCACAGTTTACATCTCTTTTGATAGGCCATCGCCTGACAGGCTATATTGATGGATCGGAGGTTTGTCCACTGTCAGAAATATCTTCCAAAGACGATGCTGCTATTCTGATTCCAAACCCAACGTTTGATCACTGGATCCAACAAGATCAATTACTGTTACATGGCATTATTTCCTCGGCTACAGAGACTGTAGTCCCCTTCTTTGCTTCCTGCACATCTTCAAAAAGTGCATGGGATAAAATTCAATCGATGTATGCAAATCGATCCAGATCTCGGATGATGCAATTGAGAGAAAAGCTTCTTTAGCCACGAGGATCAAAGTCCATTCAAGAATATTTTCAGTTTATCAGACACACTGCAGATGAATTAGCACTTATTAATTCACCTGTCCATGAAGATGATTTAGTAATCAATATTTTGAATGGAATTGGAGCGGAGTACAGAGAGATATCCGCTGGAATCAGGGCTTGAGAGAGCAAAATTTCCTTTGAGGAACTACTTGACAAAATGACTGAGTATGAGGGCTTTCTCCAGAGGGAAAATTCAGCTGAAATCACCATGCATAGTGCACATGTTGCTCAACGGTTTCCTCCAAACAGGCAAGCTTACAAAAACTTTTCTTCAAACAGAACTAATGGTGCATATGTTCATCCAAAATCAATGCAGAAACGAGGCTATTCGAACTACAATTCCAAGCTAGTTTGTCAATTTTGTGACAAAACTGGTCACACAGCCAAGAACTGTTATGAGCTAAAGCCTAAACATATCAATCAACCTTCTGCTCATGTTGCCACAACAGGAAATTCCAAGCCTCAGACAGGCTGGTTTCTTGACACAGGGGCCTCACATCCTGTACCCGCAGACTTGCGGAATCTCAATCTCAATGAGAAGTACACAGTTTTAGATGAATTAGTTATTGGTGATGGCACTGGCTTGCAGATATCACACGCTGGTTCCACCTCTTTACCCTCTCAAAACTCATCTTTTACATTAAATGATGTTTTGTGTGTACCAAAAGCAAGTAGAAACCTTATTTCTGTTTCCAAGTTTTGCAAAACTAATCGAGCCTCTGTTGAATTTTTTCCAAGTCATTACCTTGTCAAGGATCTGGATTCGAGACGAGCACTAGCCAAAGGCCTGAGTAGGGATAAGATTTACGAGCTTCAATCAGCAAAACCACTCATCACCAGCAATGCACTTGCGTATGTTGGCACCAAAACTAACTCAAATATTTGACACCAACGCCTGGGGCATCCTTCTTCAAAAATTCTAAGTTTTTGCTTAATTCGTTTTCTCTTCCTTGTTTTGACAAGTTGTCAAAATGTTTGTGTAATTCCTACTCATGTAATAAAATGCACAAACTCCCATTTGCTACTTCTTCTCGTCCACTTGAAGTTATTTATGCTGATGTTTGGGGCCCTAGTCACATTACATCTATTAATGGCTATAGATATTATGTTGCCTTTTGTGGATCATTTTTCCAAATATACCTGGCTTTTTCCGCTTAAGCAAAAATCTGAAGTATACAATGTTTTTCTCAAATTTCGAACTGTTGTTGAGAAATATTTTGACAAACCCATTTTGACTTTGTATTCAGATTGCGGGGGAGAGTTTGAAAAGTTGAAATCATGTCTTGAATTTGCTGGAATCCAACATCTTCAGACACCTCCCCATGCACCACAACATAATGCTGTTGTTGAAAGAAGGCACAAAAGTATTGTAGTGACTGGCTTGACATTACTTCATCAAGCCTCTATGCCCCTCTTTTATTGGTCTTATGCTTTCTCAGCAGCAACATACTTGCTAAACAGACTTCCTACACCAGTACTTAACAACAAAAGCCCCTTTGAGATGCTTTTTCACCAAACACCAAACTACCAAAAACTTAAGACTTTCGGATGCCTCTGTTACCCTTGGCTAAAACCCTATAATTCACACAAGTTAGAGCCAAAATCCAAACCCTGCATATTCCTTGGATACTCAAAGCACCAAAGTGCTTATTACTGTCTTGAGTCACATACACAAAGAGTATATACATCGAGACATGTTCTCTTTGATGAGCAGCAATTTCCATTCAGCAAATTCAACTTTTCAGACTCTTCATCATCTGATTTACTCTCACCTGTTGAGTCTTATTGTGATATTCCAGTTGCTTCAGCCTTATAAACTACCATTACCATATCAGAAAGCACAAATGCTCCCACAAGTCCCATCTCTCCAGTGCAAGTCTCGGATATCAGAAATGACAATGAGGTAACAGATTCTACATCTCAAAGTTCTCATTTACAAACTCCTGAGTCTTTGCATATTGTTGTTCCTACTAATGTTGCACCTCAACGAACTCACCATATGACAACAAGGTCTCAGAATAATATATTCAAGCCAAAGAAGCTCTTTACTGCCACAAAGCATCCAATTGCACAGTCTTCTGAACCAACTAGTACTGCAACAATGGCTATTAAAGTTCCTAAGTGGAAGGCAGCAATGCTTGATGAACTTCATGCTCTTGAGAAAAATGAGACTTGGTCACTAGTAGATTCTCCAACAGACAGGACAATTGTGAAGTACAAATGGGTATTTCGAATTAAAAGGAACCCTGATGGCTCAATTTCCAGGTATAAGGCACGTCTTGTAGCAAAGGGTTTTACTCAAAGACCTGGCCTTGACTTTAATGAAACTTTTAGCCCTGTTGTAAAGCCAGTTACAGTGAGAACGATACTTTGCTTAGCAGTTTCGAATAATTGGCAGCTTCATCAATTTGATGTGAATAATGCCTTTCTACAAGGCAAGCTTGAAGAAGAGGTTTAGATGACCCAACCACCTCTCTTTCATGATAAGTCTAAACCTGGTTATGTATGCAAGCTGCAAAAGGCCATTTATGGCCTTAAACAAGCACCGGGGGCGTGGTACTCAGCACTAAGTTATTATCTCTTGTAGTATGGTTTCTCAAATTCGAAGTCAAATCTCTCTTTTTTCATCTATCAGAAAGGTGATGTCCTTTCTTATATGCTCATCTATGTTGATGACATAATCCTTATAGGCAATCAAAAGTGGTTCACCCAGCAGTTTGTGCATGATCTTGCTTCTGAATTCTCTCTTAAGGATCTCGGTCACTTGAATATTTTCCTGGGTATTGAAGTTGTGCAAACCTCCACTGGTTTGTTTCTTTCTCAGCATAAATATATTGCTGAAATATTTGATAAAACTAACATGACATGGGCTAAAGCAGCAAATAGTCCCCTCTCTACTACAATTCCATTGAAACTAAATGATGGAAGTGCAGCAGCTGATGCAGAAGAATATAGGAAAATTGTTGGTTCACTTCAATATTTGAATCTAACACGGCCTGACATCTCCTTTGCAGTTAACAAGTTATCTCAGTTTATGCACAAGCCAACTCAGTTGCATTTTTCAGCATTAAAACGAGTCCTAAGGTATTTGAAGGGAACCTTATTTCATGGACTTAGCATTAATAGTGCTGCGCCAAAATTTCCTAGTGCGCCCAGAAAGGTCTTTTAGGCGAAATCTCTTTGAGGAAAGAGAGAGGTTCGAGGTGTGCCAGTTATTTTTGTAGAAAAAATAACAAAAAGCTTTTGTAAACTTGAAATTACGAGATCAAGATCGTAAAAGTGAGAGAGATCAAACGAGTTGCGAGTTCTGGTTTAAAGTCATAGAAGACTGTTTAAATCATTAAACCTATTGGGTAATTCTTGAGTAACAAAGTGAGAGATTGATGGAGAGAGACAATGAAAAGTAGATTTTCACTAGAATTGCCGAAGCAAGATTACACCTTGTAAAAACAAGGGTGATGAAAAGTAAATGACAAGGTTGATCACAACTTGTAAAAACAAGGGTGATGAAAAGTAAACGATAGGGTTGATCAAACAAGAGTTTGCATCAACTAAAAGTTTGCATCTCTGAAGAGAGAAGTTTCGCGCAGGGCGAGGGTGTGTCCGGAGAGAGTTTCTACGTTTGAGGAGCTTCTTCTTATATAGCCAAGGCGCCGCCATCTTCTACACTAATCAAGGGATTAAGCTTTAATGACCCACTAACCATAATGTTGAAATGTTAACTACGTTAATTCCCTTAGGTCAACCTTCACTTTGATGATAATTGATCTGAATATCAATTTGACTCCTTAACTTTAGGAAATTAATCACAATCAATATCACACAAAATAGTGATTTGATTT